GGGTGCCCCGGCCAAGTGTCACCCCAGAACCGCGGCACTAATCTTCACGCACGTCTGAGCCCCGCGTACGAGAGTGTAAAAGTTTTGGCGGGAGGATTTATAACTCGGGAACGAGAAACGATAGAACGCTGAAACTTTAGGAGTATGTACCCACACCATGCGCGTCCTCCCGTTTTAGTATCATTCCCCGCGCGCGCCTGGGCGCCGTTTACGGGCCCTTTAAAAAAATATGCAAATTTTTTGGTGGAAAAGCGACCTCGGGAATCACACGAGCTAAAGGGCTGAAAATTTGTAAGGATATTCTCTGAGCATGTACTGGCTAAAGATATCAAATTCAACCCTCAGGTGTGTGTGATACTCAAATAAGAGCGCATGAAAGTTTTAGGAGGGGAATTACTAACTCGGGTACCAGAAAAGCTGGAAGGTTGAAATTTTAGGGGAATGTTCCCTGTCAAATAACAATTTATGTGTTTAAAATTCAGCCCCAGCTATACATTGTACTCATGTAAGGACGTATGAAATTTTCTGCGGGAAAATTACCAACTCGGCAACCAGGAAAGCTGGAAGACTGAAATTTTAGGGTAATGTTCCCTGTCCAAGCACAATTTAAATATTGCAAATCCAGTCCTCAGGTGTGCGTGGTACTCACGTAACGACGTATGAAAGTTTCTGCGGGAAAATTACTAACTGGGCAACCAGAAAAGCTGGAAAGCTGACATTTTATGGGGATATTTCCTGTCCAAGTACAACTTAAGTATTTCAAATTCAGTCTTGAGGTATTCGTGGTTCTTACATATGAGCACTTAAAATTTTGGCTGGATTTCTCACTGAACAACAAGGTCACTTATAAAAAACAATCGTAAAATGGAAATTGGACACTAACTTTATGCAAAATTTGTGGTGATTTATGCTAGTGACTCACCACAAATTTTGCATAAAGTTAGTGTCCAATTTCCATTTTACGAAAAAGTAGGTGTAAAGCAACAACCATTCATGCAGTTAATGACCTGAGTATTTCAAGTCCGGTGCAAAAACGCATGATTGCACTGGTCCGCCCGGTGCGTTCCAGTCTGGATTTCAATCTTACTGTGCGTTTCTGCATATATGCGAATGCAATAATTGACCAACGCACGTTCTGGCCGTTCGAAGATTCGTTTTTTGCATAGCTCCCCGCAGATTTTTGTGCTAACGGCACTATTTTCCCCGGCAGATGCTTCTAGCTAAAAGAATTTCAGAGTGGCCGCCAGGACTGTCGGGAAACATCCCTTCAAAATTACAGTCTTCTAGCTTCTCAGGTTCCCGTGCTATCAACTTATTTGAAAAAAACTCGCACGGGACCGTACGTGAGTACCACGCATACCCGCGGGCTGGGTATGAGCTTAAAGAGACCTAGGTGGGCGGGAGATATCCTCTTAAAATTACAGTCTTCTAGCTTTTCAAATTCTCAAGTTAGAAAGTTATCTGAAAAAAATTTTGGCTGGCCCGCACATGGGTACCACCCATACCCGAGGGCTGGGTTTGAGGTCAATAATACCGAGTTGGACGAGGAACGTCCCCTTAAAGTGGGCTTGCTGTGTTTTTTACGAAAACGCATGATGTTGGTAGAAGGCCAGCGTTTGGTCAGCTCCAGTTATGCGCTGCTTGAAACAGCCACTATTTCGCCACTGTAGCCGACAACTACGCCATTTTCTTCCTTATTAATTTCATGGTTGTTCTGAATAGTGTTGCTTCGCCTGGTGATCAATCTTCTGGGGTGCGATCCTTTCGTATTTTCAAGAAATTATCGGTTTAATGGCTCTCCGACGAAAACACTTTGACGCGGCTTTAGACGCTCGGACATCTAGCGCTGCCAATCCAGACCATGTTGAGGTACATTTCTGCCTGACAGGGCCTTCAATTACAAGCCTGAAGGCTTCCAATGCGATGGCTATTTTAACACTTGAAATAGTCATTCACTAATAGCCGCTGCTCTATTTTGGCCCCTGTCACACGCGTGTTTTTCAGTACTCAAGCCAGTGAGAGTATTGCGTCACAATGTTCAATTGTCCCGGAAGTGAAGAGGCTCAGTTACTATACTCATCGGAACAATATTCTCCGGAAACGATAAGGAAAAAGCAGCCATTTCGAAGACGGCGAAAGCGTAGCGCTTCATCATACGAGCGAAAACGGAAAGCGGCAAATGAAAGGGAACGAAGACGAATGTGGAGGTGAGTTGAGAATAAACCAAGAAATCTTTAGTTGCCTAAGAGTAGATTTTAGTGGGTAAGTTACCCTCTTCCTCCTTCCCTTTTTATGCGTTTTGTGCCGTGTAACAGCGTTACAAAACGCATATTGTCACGGGGTTGTCTGTGTGTGTCCCACATTTTGTCCCG